CCGCTCCCCCCGCACCGGCCGCGCCGCCGCCGCCTTTAATAGCGCCGAACACGCGACAGCGGCCGGGACGGGCACGACAACCCGCCGCAGCAAGCCCCTCCGCGGCAAGAAAGACCCTGAGCGGGGAGGAAGGCGAGGGGACTGCCGGCCGGGGTTGGGGTGCCCGGTCTGCGCGGGTCTCGGCGTGGCCGCAGGGAGGTGGAAGAGCCAGTTCTGCAGCAGCACGGATGGACAGCTTCGCAGGTCCAGCGCCAGAAATTAACGTCAAGGTAGTGATTTCTGCACAAAAGCAAAGTTCTCCCCTCGAGTCCATTCTGCAGTTTCACTGCCCATCTTCTGACACTTCAGAGATTCTGTCTATTGATTTAAGGAGCTCAGCGACGAGCTGCAGGGATTCTGCTCCAGAGACCAGCTGCCTGGAATGTGGGAGAGACACGGAGTTAGACTGAGGGGGAGAGGACAGGCAGCCAGGTGGTGTTTACCCATGCAGTGGGATTTTCCCAAACAGCAGTTTGTCTGAAGAGTGCACCTGAAGGAGTATAAGAGTCTTGGAGAAGTATAAGAAGTCCACAGAGTTTAAGCATAATGGTTTTACATCAAGTTAAAAAAAACATAAATATTTACATATTCTAGTTATTTTTATTACCCAAACTTGGAGGAAAACGCACAGCGGGTAAGAACACGGACGGCTGATCTGGCACACAGAACACGAGAAGTCAAGTTTCAATCCTAGCAAAACCCACTGAGTCGTAACCTCAGGATCTTGACGAGCATCTGGGATAGTGTCAGAGTCATCCAAAACCTACTCACCTGATGGAAGACCGGGAGTTTGTGATGACGGTGAGGAGGTGCTGTAAGGCAACGTCTGCGTTCTGTCTCACCACAGCCAGGCTCGCCGACTGGCCCGACCTCAAGGCTTCGTTCTCTGTCTTGTAGTTCTTCAGCTGAACCTGGGGAGGAAACAAACAAAAACTTCATATGAAAATAACCCCAAAACTCCGGTAAATACAACTACCAAATGCATTCACACAGCAACATGTTAGGTACAGCAAGTGATGCACAGATCCCATAGCCAGACTGCCTAGGGAGAGTGGCTTCCCGGCTCTGGAGAGCAGACTCCGACAGAAAACTACACTCAGAGGCCTTTATTAAAACTGAAATCGTAGGCAACATTTTCACAATAGCCTGCCAGCCAGCAGCCCTCAAGCCTGCCTGCTTTATAGAACCCATCCAGCATTAGTGGCGTATTTCAGCTCCGATGGTGGAGATGGAAGCCGCTACCGGACCCCAGTGTTACCATCTACCCCTAGGCAGGCCCGGCTGAGCTGCCTGTGGGACCTCTCAAGGTTCTCTCCCGTCTGGCAGGCACCTTCCCCCAGCTGAACACCATCTGCCCTGTTGCATTACAGCATCTGTAGATCCCGAATAGCAAACGACGTCGGAGCATCCTGCGAAGCTTCGGCACAACCGTCAATGAAGTACCACAGATGGCAGGGGTGAAGTTAACAGCCTGCGTAGAGACGGAGTGTTCCAGACCCAAACATGTTCCGTGGCGTTCAGGAGGAAGCGAGGCGCAGTTAAAAAAATATCAATACCCTCTTACAGGCTCAATTTCAGGGTGTGTGCTTTCAGCCCCCCCACAGCGCTGCTTCGTACCTGAAGGAAGGCGTTTTCCTGTTTCAGTTTGGTAGCGCTGTTTTCTGCTTTAACAGCCCGTTTCTGAAACGGAATAAAGATTACTTATTCCACAGCAGTGCCAGGACACAGCAGGCAGTTTGATCTCTGCAGGAATGAACAGCCCAAAAACGTGTTTCTGCAAAGTTCTCCCTTACTCCAGGTTACGAAACGGGGTCTAGACTGGGCCACGGTCTTGTTTGAACCCATCTCAGAGCTGTTTGGTGCTCACACGGGGAAAGCGATCAGCTTCCCTCGCTCTGCTGGGGCAGGGGAAGGAAAAGGAGAACTACACAGTTCCAGCTGCAAACAAGCTCCTGCTGCTACGGCAATCGTCAACACCTACCGTCATCAGCTGCAGATTCTGTTCCACGTGCTGCACCATTGCTTCCAAATCCTGCGCTTCTTTTTCTTCCTTAATTTTGTTTTCCTCAAGTTTTTTTTCAAGTTTTCTCATCCTTAAAAAAAACAGGAGACCATGTTCAGTAAGCACTTCATAGAATCATAAAACGGTTTGGGTTGGAAGGGATCTTAAAGGCCCCGCAGTCCCCCCCCCTGCCATGGGCAGGGACACCTTCCACTAGCCCAGGTTGCTCCAAGCCTCATCCAGCCTGGCCTTGGACACTCCCAGGGATGGGACATCCACAGCTTCTCTGGGCAGCCTGTCCCAGTGCCTCCCACCCTCTGCGGGAAGAATTCCTTCCTGATGTCCAATCTAAACTTCCCACTTTCAATTTAAACCCGTTACCCCTTGTCCTGTCACTACAGGCCCTGGTAAAAAGTCCCCCCAGCTTTCCTGTAGGCCTCACTTGTAACAGTAAATACCTTAGTAAGAAAATTCTAGGGAGGGATCAAGAAACTCATTCTTTCACATTATAAGAAAAACAAAGTCTTCCCACAGAAGGACACTCTAGGCTGTGGCTCAGGGGATTCAACAGCTACTAGCATTAGTAACTTAAGAAATTAGGAACTTAAGAAATTGCCACCCTGGCTCGGTCACCGGGTTGTTTAACCTCAGGAAATTTAGATCTCCTGATATCAAGTTGTTCATGGGTAAAAATAAAAATGCTTTTCTTGCTTCAAAGGAGAGAGGTTCAGATTCATTCTTTTGTTAATCTGAGGCTTTATGAAACGCATCCTGTCAAGCCCTGTCCTCATTTTCACTAACCACCTAAACTGCAAGAAGCGTAAGCCGCACAGACACACTCATCAGATGTCAGCTTTCTACTTACTTTCCAAGACTTTCTCAATAAGAAACACGGGTTTGTTAAAGCTTTTTAGTAAATAGCATAGATTTCAACTACATTTTTCTTCTTTAAAGACGTTGACTGTTCCCAGTGAGCACCTCTTCTAAGACAACTCCTTGCTTACGTGGTTACTTTCCCCCAAACTGTGGCTTACGCACTTGTCTGCTTGAGTTTCAGAGAAAATCTGAAGCTTATTGATCTTGCTTCTCAAACTGGCATTCTCTTCTTTCAGCTAAAAAAATAAAAATTCTCATTAGAAATGAGGGCATAGTTTCACAACGCTACCAGTGCCCCAAGTCCAGCACCAGAGGAATGTTCAGCTTTCACTCTAGCGCTGGCAACTCTTGCCCTTTCTATCGCATTCCCTGTGGGGCACAGAAATGTGGCAGCAAGCAACCAGTGCAGATGTGACTAATAAATGCTGTTAATCCTAAATTAGCATGACCTCCAGGGGCAAGAGCGTGAGGAAATCACCTGGGTCATGCCAAAGGCAGTTAGGACAGACAAGTTACTGAATATGACTCGGGCTGTAGAGCAGCTTTTCAGACCTATTTCTCCTTCTCAGGCTGCTCTAACGACGAGCAGCCCTTGCCGACAGCACGGTTTAGTGACACTGGAGGCTGACACCACGTTTCTGTAACAACCCGACACACGGGCTCCGGCTCGCCAACAGCACGAGCCCGCAGGCAGCGCCTGTGTCGGCCCCGAGAAGGGTGCGGGGGCAGCCGAGGTGCTCACCTCCTCGTAGCTGGGCTGCCGAAGGGGCTGACGGCCCGGTCCTGCGGGGGCTCCGGGGGAGGGGCTGCTCG